GTTTTCTACAACACGATGGCCGACTGCGCCGCGCGCATCACGTCGGTCGCCACGCTTCGCGCCGCGCTCTGTGGCGCGACCCACATGAGCTTCTGGGGCAGCACGGGCTACGAGCAAAACACGACGTGGTGCTCCGTGGCCAAAGCCATGTTCATCCGCAGCGCGACCTCGACCGGCGACGTGCCCGCGTCGTTTCTCTGGCAGTGCTCGCCGATCAAGAACTCGTGGATCGCCCTCCGCGTGCTAAGCCCGAACCAATGCTACTCGACCGACAGCCGCCTCTGCACCCCGTTTGGGACGCTCGACCAGTGCCAGGCCAGCATCCAGGGCATGGTCGACTTTGCAAGCGACGAGTTTGTCCTCACGTGTCCCTCGATCGCCCAGTGCGTCTTGGATGCCGAGCGTCCACGCGAAGCGCCGGTCGCGGCAGGTATCCTATCTATCCAATGCGCATCGTGGATAGTATTCTCATGTCTCTGTATAGTCAATTGGCCGTGGATCATTGCCGGCGTCGGTCTCTCGCTGCCGGTTTTTTGCGGCCTCGCGGCGTGGCACATGCTGCGCAAGAAGCCGCTGCCGACCAACAGTCACATATTTGACACCGAGTCGACGCTCTGTTCCAGCTACAACAGCGAGCGCTCGCAAGCAATATAACCCACGACGTTTTAACACTACTGCGCGCCCGTTCGGACTGACATGAAAATGGGGTCGATGCAGTCCGCCACCCCTCGCGCTTTGAATAGCCAGGATATCATCATCAATATATACCGTTAGTGTACTTGTTTCAACATTGTAGCATCGAAGAGGGATTTAGTGCCCTATCAAGAATGGAGATGTTGTCTGTCGTTTTGCTGACCTCTCTCTCGTTGCTCGTTGAGTCGATCGCAGTCCCATCGAAGCTTGCAACAATACTCGCTGCAGCATCAACACACTAGGCTCTCTATTTTGTTGAGACGGCAGTCGAGGGTCTCGACATCTCTGCTGTAGCTCTCTGCGGTGGGGATGGCGAGATGCGCAGGATACTCGGAACAAGTCAGAACAACCCTAGCTCACAGCTCTAGCGAGATGGGTGATGGATGGGCTTCTGACTAAGTGAGTGAAGGGTCCGAGGTAAATCCATTCGCGTCTACGCTGTGTGATATAGCGCACTTAGTTGATATTGATAGTCGAATTCTGAGTGTGCCGCCGTAGAAATTGATTCCACTGCGGTACCGTGGCCTTGGGTTGTGGTATGTACCCGCTCAGCCAATCACAAACAAGTGTGAATTTCACGTGACCAATCACAGGCCATGCTATCCATTGAAAATATCCCAAAATGCAACTGGATCTTCCTCAACCAGCCACCGGATGGTCTGTCGCCGCGCGCATTTTGCGGTGGATTTATTCGTCTTGCGACTTTGGTCAGATTGGTCATTTTCCAACTTATAAGAAACCATGAGCCAGTGCCTGTTTAACGAGTGCGCCGCGACGGCGCTCCCGGGCCTGCAGCGCTGCCAACAGCACAAGAACCGCAGCGTGTGCTCGATTCCCGCGTGCCCCAACCAAGTCTACGCCCGGTATCTTTGCGTTCGCCATGGCGGCAAGCGCGTCTGCGCCATCGCCAACTGCCCGTTCTACGCGCGCGGCGGCCGCTTCTGCGGCAAGCACGGCGGCAACGTCTTGAAGCGCTACTGCCTCGTCGACGGCTGCTCCAAGCAAGCACATGCCAACCAGAAATGCGTGCGCCACGGCGGCGGCCGCTTTTGTAAAGCCGATGGCTGCTCGTACCATTCGCGGGCGGGGGGTTTCTGCCTCAAGCACCAGCCAGCCGAGCCAGCAACAACAACTGAAATGCTCGATCATGCGATCCTGGACAGCATCCTCGTCAACGACGCTGCGCCACCAACGACGCAAGCGAGTGCGACCATCGATCCGTTCGAGATGCGCATCCTCGAAGACCTTCTCAACATCTAACAAACCCGCCTATCCTGCAGCGCATCTCCTATCCTATGAACCTTATCCAATCTTATTTTCGAATCTTACTCCATTCATTTCCATCTTTTGCCACAAGTTAGATCCATCGGTAGATCCAAAGGTCGTGCATGGTGGACCTTCTAAGCAAGCTCGAAGAGGCCAAGCAGACGGGGCTACTGCACCTCGTGCAGTTCAACCTGCGCGCCGTGCCGAGTGACCTCTTTCGCCTTAATTTTGCAGCCTTGTACCGCTTGGATCTCGGCTTCAACCACGTCCGCGTCCTCCCCGATGCGATCGGGCAGCTTGCTGCGCTCGAATTTCTTTGGCTCAACGACAACCCGCTGCAGTCGATCCCACCTTCGATCCACAAGTGCGCCAAGCTGCAAGTCCTCGACCTCAATCGCACCGAGCTGCGCGACTTGCCGTGCGAACTTGGCCGCATGCAGCACCTCATCGTCCTCGACCTTGACCGTGTCCCGCTGGCCGCCAAGCTCCTTGCCGCCTCGCAGGTCGTCGGCCAGAGCGAGAAGCAGGCGCAAGCTGTTTGCGCGAGCGTGCTACGCTACCTCCACCGCAAGGATATTCGGCGCCAGCAAAAGCAAATTCTGTTTGAAAAACTCAAAGACGGGGTACCCCTCGCCCTTCTGTTGCGTGGGAGCATACTGAAAATGGCGTGGAAATAGCCGTACCGCGAAAGCGCCGATACGAACGACGGCATGGAGCGCATCCGCCGCCTCATGAAGCGCGCGATCAAAGAGTTTCCGACCGAGGACGACGTCCAGAGTCTGATTCGCAACCTGGAGCGTCTATTTCCACCCAATTTGATCGCGGCCAGCGACCACCCAGCGGCGACGGCGACCGCGATGCGCGCGCACTTTGTACAGCTCAAGCAAGACAATCAGAAGAAGAAGCTGGCGGCCGAGCTCGAGCTCAAGATCCGCAATATTTACTTTGATCGAATTGATCCCGTGGCCGTGGAACCCATGGTGCTGGTACGGAACTCGAATTTCGTGAATGGAATGATAAGGTCGCGTGCGAATAGTCAATCTACACGGAGATCAAGTCGCTCAAGGACATCAAATTTCTCATTCGGTATGCCACAAGCTTGTTTCCGCCGACCGCTGCCGAAGTCGACGGTGCCGAGCTCCGCGATCGGCTCGTCGCCTTTCAGGACGAAATGGCCCGGTACTTAATACGGCCATTATCCGAGTTGAAACTCAAGGATGCTATAGCGAGCGGCAAAATGCCATCGACAAGGTGTTTGTGGCCGTGACGAATATCTACAGCGACGTCGAGCCCGACAAGATCCGCGCGCTCATTGACCAAGTCGTGCCGCTCTTCAAGGTCGCCCTATTCCCCTATTCAGTACTTTTGGCACCGACAAAGTAGAATGTCAAAGACCTCAAGACCTTGGCCGCGGACGCCGCGCTGCACTTTCCGAGC